GTTATTTAGGCATGATGTAGAAAAAATTGAAACACAGCAGTTTTGACTAATAACACTTGTTTGATTTTGATGGCATTGATAGCAATGTACACTGAATGTGAATATTCCACATACTCTTGGGATTTTTAGACCAAGGTATTTTTTTCTTGAAGAACCTTTTTAGACTAATTGAAATAAACAAAGTTGGCTTTGCTAAATCACCCATGAGTCAGATAGCTGCGTTCACCATTAGAATTTTCATCCATTATATGTTTCTGAATATAATCTGGCATTCAGCCAAACTAATACATGAATAAAATCTTTTGAATTTTTTACTGTACTTACAAATATCATATTGGGATTAACATTATGTCATCATTAAGAGGATTTCTGTAGATCATAATCGAGGGAGCACCTACCATCAGAATCACCATGTTGTCTCCATGGTAACACTTGTTAGTCCAGTAACAGATTCAAATTATTTTTATTTATATGAGTTTACAAAAGTTATGAAATAAATTTTTACAAGTAACTTCACATGTACCTTGCCTTCAACATAAAAACATATGAATGACTTGATTGCTGTCTGACTGCCAGGAGCATGGCTTTAATCATTGTTGCCAAAAACAGCTTGTTTGTACCTTTTTACTCTAAATTGCCTTATGCTGTCTTTTCTATGTGAAGTAGGAGTTAGCTGTACAACAGTTGACATTACGATGGCAGGGAAGAGAAATTGCATACTTAAATATTACAAGTATGTCAAGTTTTGTTCTGAGAATAGAATTTGATTCTGTTGAAAACAAAGCAGAGGAAACTTTTCCTGCATCACTTCTGTTTGTTGGATGTCATTACGGGCCAAGGCTGAGGTATGTTGATTGGGGAAAGCATTGGACTATGAAACATTTGCCTACACATTCTGGGATGTATTTCTGAGAGCTTTTTTTTCTATTTTCTTTTTGCAGAAAGCCAAAAAAGATGTCAGCAACTTTGACAAGGAATTCACAAAGGAGACTGCCAAGTTGACGCCAACTGACAAGCTGTTCATCATGAACTTGGATCAGACGGAATTTGCAGGGTTTTCTTTCGTCAACCCAGAGTTTATTGTCAAAGTGTGAAGGAATGTTATTGAAAAGATGTCTGCCAAGATTTGATACTTTACCCTTTTTTTCCTTTGGTGTGGTACCTATTGGAGCAAGATGTGGATTATTATTATTAAGTGTGCTTGAACCAAAATTTGACTATTGTTAATTTTAGTCTTTTTTTTCTTATTATCTTCTTTTGGGGGGAGGGGGGGAGCACTTATGAAAATGTTACCTTTTGCCACTTACAGGAATTGCTGCCTGAACTAGTTGATAGAAGGTCAGGCAGTGACATTTCTGTTACTTTTTCTGAATACTTTCTACCTTTTCATTCTGATATATACCTTACTTAAAGTAACTTACAGTATCTCATAATCTATTTTACATATTTAAAAAATGTGTAATACAGGGTACGGCAGATATTCAGAAAGAGAATTTTTTCCTATTTTTAAGCAGATTTTTTCACCATTCAGATTTTTTGTTTTATTTGTATTATTGCCCTGAAAACTGAAAACCTGCATAATTACATCATATTAGATGTGAATACAGAAAAGGCTCACCAAGTGGAGATCAGTGCTTTCTTCAGGTCTATTTTTTTTCTTTTTGCTTGTATAATTGCTTGTAAAATTTGAAATTAGTAATGAGTGAAAAAATCTGCGATAATTCAAGTGAGCATAATAACACTTACAAACTAATTTCTAGTAATGATGTGTAAGTAGCGAAATATGAAGATGAAGAACAGTAACGTGTATAAATCAAACTGGGTGTTAATACTCCTCTCTTCGTACAGTTTCTCTTAACATGATAATTTAGTATACTATAAGATATACAGGTGTACACGTTTACTATGTGGAAGCTTCCTAGATGGGCACATAAGTCAGATGACTAGTGGTTTTTTATAGGAAATACTTGGCTTTGGTGCTTCTTATTGTTAGAATATGCTGTGCAGTATAACATGCTGCAGAATTACAATTTGATAATTAAATGATGTGAATGTCGCATATTACAGTTTTACTTAATTGCCTGTACTTCTCAACCAAATTGATCTGCATTGCTGTTTACAGTGGGTAGAAAATTTGGAAAAAAAGTATAAAATAATACCTCAAGCAGCTTTTTTTCTTGAAGGTCACATTAATGACCTTTTTGTATGATGAGAATTGAGAAGTTTTAGGAAAAAATGGAAGAAGGGTTATTGTACTAAAGTGCTTTGTTGCAAAGAAATACACAATATTTTAATTAATTTTTTTTTCATGTCATCTGTATCTTGGGTCGGCTGAATTTTTGGGAATATTTACCTTTAGTCTTCAAGGGGAACCTGTGGTATATTGAAGAGCACATGCCTTTGTATATTTTTGCTGATAATATTTGTTTTTACAATAGAATGTCAACATCAGTGTAAAAAAATTACAGAAAAAAAATTGTAAATTATCAAGTACTTCTATAAAGTGCAATTTATATTCCTATAGAATTTTGGGTAGTCTTTGTCATCTTTTTTCAGATAAGCATATTATATATAACTGAATACAGGATTTGGGAAGAGTAGACCCCATTTTTTCAAGAGATGTACAGTACATGTACAATTTACAACACCTTTAAGGCAACCTGGCCTCAAATTATCTTATATGCTAGTATGTATAATCTACATTTTAGAACCTTTTCTTCTTTTGGTTTATATTATTAAACCAAAGTGGACAGTAATGTGCAATCACTAAAATTTCACTTGGTGTAAAGATGCAATGTTGGAGCGGGCAGTTGTGGTTTTATATCTTAAGTGAAAATTAAAAGAAATATCACACTCTGTGGACATCAACACAAAAGACACAAACATTAAAGACATTTGAAATCCTGTATGCTGTCCCAGTGAGCATTAACAGTCAGAAAATAATGTTTATTCTTAGTGTGTATTATCCATGTATTAATTTTTATAGCTTGTGATGTATACTTAATGTGTATTTTTGCTCATATCTTTTGTATGAACATTGGAAGCTTGAGATAGACCATCAAATGTTTAAACTTAATGCCAAGCTTTGACTATTCCTTATCATCAAACTGTGCAAGAAAAAAGTTTGATGATGTAGATTAAGTTGGAAGGTCAAATGTAATCCACAAAGGTTGGCAAAATATAAGTAGGTTGTCTTTATAAAGTAAAAAGACTTTGAATGTGAAAGAAATTAATGATTACATTTTTACAAACAAATGTGTAAATCTTAAGAAAGATATTGGTTAGGAAACAGTGAATTTTATGAAAGAACCAGAAAATATATTACATAGATGGCATGAAATCCAAAAGTGTGGATAAAGTCAGAAATAACACTCATGAAAGGAAGCTGTGTTCACTCTAGCACAAATTTTGGAAAAAAAAAAACTTTTGAACCAGAATATTGACTGGGTACAAATCAAAAGTCACAATTTTTCAGCCAAAATGTATAATTTTTAGACTTGAATCAATACACAAAGTGTCACCTTGAATCCAGAGATACGTAGGATTTGTTCTTCTTCCATTTATCCATTTCCATATTTCCATATTTCCAATGTCTCGTTATCTTATGCAAGAAGTGGTACCTTGTGATCCAGAGTGAGTAGGGCAGTCACTGGAGGGGGTACTAAGTTCTACAGATCATTATTAACAGGTATGGGGACTTATTTTCTCAGTATATTGTCATTTCTTTCCTGATATACTGAAGCCATTATTGTTATATGTTTAACTTTTTTTAAAACTTCAATTGCAAATATATGTCATTAAACATTATAAATCTTAGTTGTTCATTATATGTACTCTAAAATATGAAGCATAATGTGAACTAGAAATGCATATATTTTTAAAATTTTTATTTGATTTTTTGTCACACTATTGTTATAATAGTGTCTCCCTCCCAAACAATCCCTTTTAAAAAGTGAACTTGAAGTTGCTGCAAAAATGATTAAATTTTATAAGATATATTACAGTTGTTACGAGAATCCTGTGTTAATCTCTGTATATGACACGCAACCCAAACAAAATTTAGACAATTCATGCCACCATTGTGGTAGCTGTGCCACTTCAAGTCACAACCGAGTATGCAATTTTGTCTGGATACCATGATTGCCTTAGGGACCATTCCCACAGGTATTTGGATCGATCTATCTCCCTTGGGAGTCTCACTAAATTGCAATCAATGAAACCGGCAATTTTGTTTGTGGATACTATGAATGCCTTAGGGACCATTCCCACAGATATTTGGATTGATCCATCTCCCTCGGGAGTCTCACTAAATTGCGATCAACGAAACCGGCTCGAATGTCTGTCATGCTTAGTAAAGCTGTTAGGGAGTAATTATCTTTACCCTAGCTGATTCGGTAGGCGTGACAGACATTTAAGCCTCTTGAACTGATAGCAATGTAGTGTGAACCCCCAGGGAGTTAGGTCGATCCAGATGGATCAATCTAAGTATGGGAACCTAGTCTTAGTTGCACTTTAAGTGTTACAGCTGAAGACGCAAAACAGTACAGCCCCAATAGTCGCTCAAAATTTCGAAAACTTTCAACAGAAGTTTACCTCACAACATAATTACTCATTTTTGGCGGGTTTGTAATTAGGCAACAATGGTTTATACCTTGCAGGGCCACCATATCTGCAAAAAAATTTCATGCACAAAGGTATTCATGTCTTATATTATTATATTATGGTCTCTCAGTACATTGACTTTCTTAAGCTTTCCTTTTTAAACTTCGATTGCGAGTACATATTATCAAAACGTATCTTGTTAAGGGGGCTAGACAGGTTATAAAGGCCTACTTCTGGGAAACAGTTTTCCCAATTTCTTGTAGTACATATGTTGCTTATTAACAATATTAGTGCAATAAAAAGCATAAACACCTTTAGAGTAACGCCCTTATTTCTTCATCACATTCATTCTACAAAAAAATTTAAGGGTAGTATTGTAAGAAGTGACAAGGCAAATCCATGTATTTATGTTTATTTCTGTATTTTTACAGCATAGCTGTTACACAATATCATAATAACATCGCCACCCCCTCCCTCACAAACCTTTTTTATAGTTCACATAAAAAAGCGGTATTTCACATATAAATGCATTGGGAACCAGCTTTCATATACCGATTTGGAAGATTTTCTTATTTACTGAAAAGCAGCTGTCAAGACTGCTTTGTTCTGTGTTGAATTAAAACTACAAAATTTTAAGACCAAAATTAAACAGCAAATCCACGTCTGGACTTAAATCAACAATTGCACCATATGTATTGCTTCAACGGCATACAGGAAGTAGGACTAGAGACTGTGGCCGAATTACTTGTGATTTGCTCCAATGACATGTATTAGTCTGCAATTGAACATCACAATAATTTCTTGTGCTTTGGTATAAGATCAGGACTTTATAAGTCCTTTCAAGGCTCTGTTCTTACTTTTTACTTAAAAAATAAAGATTGTGCATTATTCATACTATCCATATATTCATTTTACACTGTATTTCTAACATTGAGCACCAGTACGTCTTTAAAATAGCTCTCAAAGCTAAGATGGAAATGTTTCAAAAAATGACTGTATATAGTTGCTGTCACACTCCCACACTCTTTTTCTCCTCAAAAAAAAAAAAGGCTTTCACTTCATCACAACATTACATATAAAAAGAAAGGCTCGCAGTACTGATAATGTGCAGAACATTGTTTTGGTGCAATATGACAACTACAAAATTTAAGCTTAATCCTTCATCCTAAGTTCAGCTCCGATTGGTCACTCAGCTACATTCCACTGTATACAAAATATGTACGACTGCAATGAACGTTCCTCTCTTGCATCAACATTGTAGTTCATTTCACTTATCACAGTTCAAGAAGCTGCCCCTAGATTTTGGAGACAACCGTATCAACATTTTCCATGCTTTTTAACAATGACAATTTAGATGCTGTAACATGTTTAAAAAAGCACTGTACAAAGTGAATAAGCACTGCTTGAAACTTATGAAATATATGGCACTAAACTAGAAACATGAAATTACACAAACATCTGTGTAAAACTCCTACTTCTGAGTATCTGATATCATATTCCGCTTCTCAACGAGACGATAATATAATACAAGCAGCAAACCTGTTACTACTAGGGCATAGTATACATACACTTCATTTAATAAGTAGATAAAACTGGAAAGAGTGGTATAAACAAAAAGAGAAGAAATTAGTGGACTTGTGCATGCTGCATCAGTAAAAACACTAAAAATACTACAAAAAGCAAGTTAAATATGATCAGTTTAACACCATGAAAGGTACAAAGATCTCATTATTTCAGTTCTATAACAATATTGAGCTAAGTTATATTCCTAAACGAGCAATTTTATTAATAAAATGTCTATGAATCCTTTTGAAATAATAAAATCCACCATTATATAGTGTTCCTTTTTGACAACATATTTGCTTATCAACCAGACTTTTAAAATATTTTTTGGAAAATTCCCAGCATATAAAGGAACTTGGATGTGTTATAGTTCTTTGTTAACCTGGCCTTTTTGCTTGCCAACATAAAAATACACTTCCATCCACTGAAATCTTAACAACTTGAATATCCTCATTTTCAATTGATATTGCAGGTTGTACATCTCCAATGCTTCTTTTATTTGCTCACTTGTTTTCAACTTAGTTCTAGGGTTCTGTGTTTCCTGTAACTTTACTTGTAAAAAAGCAATACTCCAGCTAAAACCCAGGGAAGTGAATTTTTTTGTCCTCCATGTATGAAAGAGCAACAGCCTAGCTTGACCCCAGAACCCCTGGCTCGTGAGCAATCGTTCCAACAGTGGGGTCATATGAACCAGCCAAGTAGTAAACATCTTCATCTAACAATCCTCGTATTCTACGATTTTTGTACTCCTGGTATGAGATAACTTCACACTTGTGAGATATGGTCTGGACATCATTTTCATCTACATGTGGAGACTGGTACAGGGCACCCTGGAAGAAACAATCCTTCGTGTTAGAGGAGCAAAGATGATTGTGTTCGAGGAGCAAAGCTGATTGTGTTAGAGGAGCAAACGTGACTGTGATGGAAAAACTGGTTTTGATATTGATTTACTACTGAGAGCACATTGGAAGCTTTTTTTTCTTGACTCTTACTTATCTCCACAGAAAGGTGTATAGTTGCAAACATTTGAAGTAAACATTTTTCAACAGTCACTACCAATATCATAATTCATTAGAAAAGTATAAATCCAAAAAATAAAGAAATTTAGTTTTTGCAGCTGTTAATCATATAATAATAAATGCTAACATCTGAATAAAGATCCATATCCCTGAATTTAAACATGTCCTTTACCTTCATTTCCAGCAGTTTCCGTCCTCCCTTGGTTTCCTCGGGGTGATAAAACCATTTGACTCGTACCACCATGTTGCCTCCCCAGGCCTCCCACATACTCTCAATACGGCCAATATATGGACAGTTGGGTCGCCCCGTAGACAAAAATACTGCACTTTCACCAACCTGGAAGACATGATATTATATTAAAATTTAAGTCATATTACCCTTCTGGCCGAATTTGAGAAAACTGTTGATGATGATGGAACCACTTTCTCAATGTCTTATTCTGAATCTCAAAAAACTAATAATGAATCTTTCATGCTTATGAATGCATGCATATCTATCAGGTCATTTGAAGTTGTTTTTTAAATCTTTATTTTAGTCTAAGTTTAAGTAATGATTAAATTCATCGATTAATCATACTTTCAATTCAGCTTTGAGTGTTATTCCCTTGTTCATAACATGTCAAATAGTACATTTACTCCTTTTGAAAACTACAAAGTGCTATGTCAGAGGGCAAGTCGCATACACACACACACACACAAAAAAAAACTTATAGCAGAAAATTCTCATCTATTTCAATTCAGGCTAAATCTGTGGTAGTTTGCTATAACACAGTAACTATCAGTGTAAAAAATGGCATTTCTTTCTTTTTGTAACACAGGTGCTATACTCCTTCAAATGGGCTACTACCAATAGGCAATATTGTGTCAAAATTAAACAAAATATTTGGACCCCAACTTTTGGTCTAATTTTTTTTTTTTTTTTGTGCCACCAGCCCCTGCAATGTTGGTAACTCTGGGTAGGTGGTTTTCCAGACTGCTTACCTCAATGGTTTCTTTACTTCTGCAAATAGACCTGTAGAA